GAAGTGAAACTCGCTTTTGAGTAGTGGTGGTGTGATATCTGTCGAGTAAGACCGCGTGTGCGCTCACCACTGAGTTAGTTGATCATGTAGCACATGTCGGAGAAGTCTAAGTCACCGTGCAAGAGGTGCAGTACTGGTATACAGAGTACCCTTCTCATATATGACCCTTAAATAGGCCCGTCTAATAAATTGTATTGCTAGGGGGTGTCTCATCGACGAAGTTACATATTGTTGGCAACAGGTCTGACAGGCGCGATAACAACTACTCGCGTCAATTGTACCGAATATGATAACAAAGCCTGTGCTGGATATAAAAAATTACACAGGTCACCGCTTTTACAAAGTTAATGTCATTATACATATACATGGTCCATTACTAAAGAAGGTCTGCGCTACATATCCGATCCTCGCAAGGACGGAACTTGATTTTCGCTCGAGACCCTAATCCAGAGGACCATGTATTCTAGTACTTGATAGCTTCGGGGTTTAGAACCGATTTGAGCTGTTGGGGAGCCTCCTGCTAACACCCTTGTGAACGAAAATCCGACGGGTTGGGATAAGAACTTTGCCGGCCTCGCTAAAATCCAACGAAATCAACATTTTAAAAGATAAGACTCATTGACTGTCTAAACCACAACTAGTATATTGATTTATTTACAACCATGCCGCAATATATCAGCAACCTGGACTGCTTCAATGGTCGATGGATTCGGGACAAAAACAATTCTGAAGGGGTTGAACCGCTTTTGCAAGATGGGGTTAGGAACTATCTGAAGCGCTAGGCCTTGTGTGCACGTGATCACCAATGATCTGGAGCTTCAAGTAGTATATGAGGGAGAGCACAAAGTAACTGTCACAGAGGTGCAGTACACTTCATTTCGTAAATAAGGATAACCAAACGCAGCTCGGCATGGAGAACGAGGACCTCCGTTAGACCGATTACCACGACGATGCCTTCTCAGGATACTGCAGAAAGCGAGCGAAGCGGAATCATAAAACTGACTGGCTCCGAATGCACACAATGTGTGTGATATAACACAAAGGCGAATATGGTTGCACGGAACAGAATCGGGTCGACAACGACCAAATGCACGGGCTAATGTCGCAGAACCACAAGGGCAAAGCTATCAGAAACCGTCGAATTTTCGTTCATAAGTCATAGACCAGTTGGTAGGTGTTGAAGTCTCTGTATAATAAAAGCATGCAAAGCTACTTAGTATGGTCCATATAGCAACAGCGTCCATTCTCATCTAAAATCGATAGTATCTTGATCCAGAAAATACTTGTGCGTAGTGCACAAGGACCACTATCAATATTTGGACCATACCTAATTCCGCACTTCTTTACTAGACAGATTCAGAATGCTAGCCCACTGACGTTCTTCACCAGTGTGAACTGTCACGTGCTAGCGTGAATACAAAGACAGATAATAGTAAACACAAGAGACTTGATAGTAGCCGATCTACACCTATCTGCACAATGCATGGAAACTAATTTCATAGGTTGTTTATGCTATATGTAAATAAATGGTAGTATTACTTCAACAGGTGGTTTACACTATGTGGTAAACATACGTCTATGTACATAGTATTACTTCAATAGGTGGTATACACTATGTGGTAAACATACGTCTATGTACATAGTATTACTTCAATAGGTGGTATACACTATGTGGTAAACATACGTCTATGTACATAGTATTACTTCAATAGGTGGTATACACTATGTGGTAAACATACGTCTATGTACATAGTATTACTTCAATAGGTGGTATACACTATGTGGTAAACATTCGTCTATGTACATAGTATTACATTCGTCTATGTACATAGTATTACATTCGTCTATGTACATAGTATTACATTCGTCTATGTACATAGTATTACATTCGTCTATGTACATAGTATTACTTCAATAGGTGGTTTAGACTATATGGTACTAATTTCATAGGGTTGTAAAACATGTCCCCAAGTTTCATATTTGTTACGTGTACATCTGTTCATACAATTTTAAGTTTCAATTTCACAGTAGTAGTACATAGTAGAGTACATAGTGGTAGGACAGGGTTTGCCCCCAAAAACCAGATATCAGGGTTTGCCCCCAAAAACCAGATATCAGGGTTTGCCCCCAAAAACCAGATATCAGGGTTTGCCCCTAAAAACCTGATATTAGGGTTTGCCGAAAAGTTACCATAACTTTTTTTAGAGAGGCTAATGTGTACACATATAGAGGGATGTCCTGATACTTTGTTCAGCTAAGTTATTCAGATACAAACGTATACGTATACTGAATGTTCAATCGCCCAGATGAGTCCCATAGATTCGATACTAAATCGTGTATCAAGCTTAACAAGCAAACAATTTCGAAATATACCGGGCACGCTCGAAGAGGTACGCAGGATACAAAGACTCTGAATGTTTGTAGGGTGTGCGATTGTCCAAGGCTCTCAATGGGTACACTTATCCCACTACACCCAAAGACTAATTATGTTTACATAGAAAACATAGATTGATATATGTAGCTGATGTTGTATACGCTACACAAACACATAAATGCAAGAACACAAGCACATACATATACCGGCACGCACAAAAACAAACACACACAAACGTGTACACACACAACGTGTACACACACAAACGTGTACACACACACACACATACACCCACCCACCAACCCACACACCCAACCAACCCACCCACCCACACACACACACACACA